AATATCCGTCGAATATCCAACCTAAAACTGATTTCACCTCGGTACTTAACCGTCTCTAACAGCGTCTAACCGCACATTAAATAAAGTCCTGCATATTTTTCTATTCTGAAATTCTGCCATGGCATGCACCAGTATGATGCTGGTGCAACTTTCCCAGGACCCTAGTCAAAAATATCTGCCAATCTGGTCGCGGAAAACAAGCGCTAATGGAAATATATGAAAAACACGGGAGCGGTCGTAGAATTTTTGAAATTTGACGGGAATGGGACGGTATGGGAATGACATCCCACGGGACTGAACGGGATGGGAATGGGTTTTGAAAATTTGGCAGTTAAATGGGATGGGAACGGAAACCCTCCAACGCGAATGGGATGGGACGGGAACCAAAAACCTTTTCCGTGCCCATCCCTACTGTGAAATTCTCCCACCGGATAGCAACAATCTATTACTAAAATATATAAATAAATTCATTTGGTGGTGAGAAATAATCAACTGTTCAGTATTTATTTTTATGCATGCGGTATTGCAATCTATTTATAGACACTAATTAAGAGTCGTTGGTAGCAGGGGGTACGCGGCTGAGGCTGACATGTCTCAAGGGGTACGTGGCTGGAAAAAGTTTGGGAACCACTGATCTACATCTAATACATTTAGATATGATCAACTGCATTACCAAGGCCCTTTCACAAATCCTTGACTATACCAGGATCTATAAAACTTCCTGAAAGCTTTAATTTATGACGTTTCACTCATATTGACACCTTAACTGACTAACTTTTTGCAAATTTGAAGAAGTACAATGTAAATGCCAAATAATTTCCAATTAACCCCTGAATTTTCAAAAGAAAATCATTAAAGTGATTATTTTGTAGTACATTTGAAATGATGATATTTATGTGAATGTGAATGGTAGGACTGAATAAATGACACTGGAAAATCTATAGGAAAATGTCGGCAGTAACCAATGACTTATTTCCCTGTATTATCATCCTTACACAGGATTTGCTTCCAGCCAGTTAATCAATATTTACAGGCACAGTAAGACACCAGTTAGGTCTCAGTTTGATCAGGGATTGCAGGGCAGCAACAGACTGGCACAATGTTAGAGTGTTTGGCCATTTCAGCTCACAGAACACACACAGCTCAGCTCACAGTGTGTTTGGCTGATTCACCGCAGAAGCTGCAAAGCATGGGCCGAGTTTGGGGGGGGGGGGGGGGTCACTCCCCCCCCCCATCGCCTGAGTCGAAATTACAATTAATTGGCAAGACCAGCTCTGCACATGTTCTGCGCTGACACCGCTTTGCATCTTTGCCACAAACATCAAACTCCGCTTATGCTGCAAAGCACTTGTCAACTTGTTTGCTCAGTTTGACTCGGGGGGGGCGGGGCATTGACTCGGGGGCCGGGGCATTGACTCTGGGGGCCGGGGCATCTCACTGTCGGGCTGATTCACTTCAGTGGCTGCAAAGCACTTTCAGAGGGGTGTCTGTGGCAGTCCTTTCGGGATTTATGACCAGACTGATTCCCCCTTTACTGATGATTTTCACTAAGCTGGTGTAACTTTTGATACATACCCTTTCATGGTAACCATTGACCAGATTTGGAATCAGGAGTGATTTTCCATCAGTTTGATACCAAACATGCCATACCAGCCTAGCGGTTCACATCTCATACCATCTGTATTAATTAATTAACAATTACTTATATTATGTATGTTACTGACTCACATCAGTATACGGTATAGATGTTTTGGGTTGTACCTCAACAGATATTACACTTCGGGTAAATTGTACAGACATTACATTACATATTCACATTCAAACAGCACATCTTACCCTTAGATAAGCGTGGCCGTTAGTTTGTGGTAATACCAATTTAAGTTGCACATCTGGGAACAACATATTTTGGGTTGGTGTAGCATATCGCAACTGACCTGCTCTCCAGAATGGATAATGTACGTCTTAATTCAGCTCTTTTAATGCAGCATGGTAGAGCACAAAGAGCTTGCTAACAGGTCACAAACATCAAATAAGGGCCACAGAGGAATGTGGAAGAGAAGAAGGAGGTTTGTTAAACAAAGAAAGAAGAATCTCTGAAAGTTAGGACACACTGAGATACCTGGTTACACTATTTAATTTTCAAGATTCTTCTGGTATAACATTACAACATTTATGCAGTGGTAGCTATACATATTTATTTATTCCAATATAAGTATTTAAGTGTGAGGGGCAAAATAGGCGATACTCCGTTAACATGGTTATAAGGGTGGCACCCAAAACCGTAATATTGTCTATGGACACATACAAACATAACCTGTATATTGAGACTAGCAATCATAGGCAAAGAAATATACAGGGTATACAAAAGCCGACTTAGAAGAAACTTTCTTTAGGGTGTTGGTCTGTTGGGTGAGTGGTATGTAAGGCAGGATGTCTGGGGAGGGGTTTGCGTACCAAGTCGAGGGACCCCTGTCCTTGAGGTCCACTCTGCTGTCCATAGGTCCCTAAATCTTTGGGCTATAAAAGTTGAAATGTTGGCCTCCCTTGTTATCTGTGTGTGTGTATGTTTAAGTGTGTTTGTGTGTGGGGGGTCACTAACCCCCCTTTCGCGCCTAGGCCAGCGAGTACCTCTCGTACCAGGGTAGGCCTTGTCTCAGGCCACCTGGAATTTAAGCTCTGTCATATGTGCATGTGTGATCCTACAGCATTTCTTGATCAAAAGTAGTCAAAATGCTCCACAAAAACAATTAAGAATTATCTTGCCAATGTGATTCACATTCTCACGTGAACAAAAGGCAAATGGCTGACTGTGATCCTTATTATTGTGATTATATTAAATGCAATTGCATGACCCTGCTCAGTGTAATGCTTACAAGTAGTAATGTCAAATTAAATAATTTTGCACAGCACATTAGCCAATAAAAGAATCTTTATTTTTGTATTAATTTATGCAGGAATATGAGTATTAATGAAACACTTTATGCTTTGAAAAATCTTCTGATTATTAATAATAGATAATCATTTATATGCTGGAAAATTACTTACTTTGCACAGAGGATCATATGTTGTAATACTTTTCTGTTAGTAATCTGTCCTGATAACAATTATCCTTAAAGCCATAAAAAACAAATATTTAATCAGTGGAAACTTTGAATGGTTTACTGTTCAAATATATAAACTAAATATGTTTTAGGGCTCTGTGAGGAGAATAACCAGAAGAGTCTCGAAGCAGTCCAGATCACCCTCCCATTTGTGAATAGGGCTACTCATATGACAATAATTAAGATCACATCTGGGTTCTGTTTACACCGATTGAGGAGCTTCGACCTTTTTTTTGTGATGCGAGAGAGTTTCCACTGAGGAAATGCAGTAAAAATAAACTGCTTCAATTAATGGATAACTGTGAATTTCGGTAAGCAGTAACTTTGTTACTTTATGATTATAAAATATCACTAATTTTTAGTTGTATAATTTTGATTGCTACTGTAGTAAATGCTTGTCTTTAGAAATATATGAAAACTTTTCCACTACCTTTAAGAGACTTTTTGCAAGTGTAAGACGACAAAGCAATCGCTTTATTTAACTTATGCATCTTAAAATACATATCATGTAGTAGCTTAAACAGTATGGATTGTATTCGCTGAAAATAAGATATTTTGCATAAAAAATATTAAGTGTTTCACTAAAAACATTTGTACAATTGCAACTTACGTATTCTCTGTTCGTAAATGGAAGAAATTAGTAAAGCTGCGACAAAATTAAAGAAGGTTAAGCGGTTTACGTTGGAATTAGCGGATTAATGGTTATTTGGTTAGCTGTGCTCACTGTATTTGACACACAGCGTAAGAATTATAGCAAGATATTTAGTCCTTGATGCATTGTCCTGGTAAAACTTAATTGCAATTAAATGAAAAGAAAAACACCCATGTCGGCTTATTTACTCTGGATGTTCAAAGCTTCGCGGTCAGTCTCTCACAAAACTCAAACGATTTCTCTGCCAGAGCTGGATCCCGGGCCAAAGGGGAGGGAAGAACAAGTGAACAGTCGCTGTCAAAGTACTTCCCGGTGATGCCATCGGTCTCCTCAGCCACGGCGCAGTAGATGGTGCTGACTGCACCCTCCTCCGCAGACTGAGGACGACAGACCACAACACCGTCAGATTCAAACTTACTAGCTTTCTATTACATTACAGAAATGAAACGAAAGTCCCTTCAGGAATTTGTGGTTAAGGGCCTTACTCACAGGATGTAAGACAGCAACCGTTTAGCATGGTGTCTTAACTTGCTGACCTACACATTATTCTAATTCAAAACAACATTTGACCACACACACACTGAGTAAAACATCCAGAAATGTGTTTGAGTACAGAAGCAATTTAAATCTATTGTGAGGGCTGGATTTTAATGACTAGATCCATGATAATATTACTAACACCAGTCCCTTAACAGATTAACCACAATTTTTTCTTAAAATAGGTTCCTATTGTAAAACCGTATAAAAGGAAAGTCTATTCCCTTTACATCCAATAGGATAAATTACTACTCTTTACTGATCAGCCTGCTCAAAAGTCAACCTAAATAGTACAACCAATAAAAATAATGCTTATTTTGTGCTGTGTAAAGTGTGTCATATAAAAGCAGGTTAATTCTTCAGGATCAAGCTGAAACTAATGCTAAACATTCAGAATTCAAAATCTATTTAAACAGACCATTTACTGGTCTTTCAGTCCAATACACAGTGAAATAATAATGTTATCAGTCTTGTCCTCCATTTCCTGAATGCTTTATGAGTAATAAATTACTTTGCATATAATCTAAGCATATAACTCATTCTCTCTCATCAGATTAAATAACTTATTTATTATAATTATGGAAATTTTTTTAGAAGAACTGTTCTAGGTGTTGCTTTTAACGGTAACAGATAAAAAGAATAACTTGAAAATATATAGCAGTTAATATGGCTAAGGCTTCCAGATATTTTTGACTTTCGCGTCTTAGAGAAATAAGCCGACACTATCTTGGTTACCTTGAAAAAGAAGATTCCTGTTATACTGAAGATGAGCCTGATTAGCCAGTGGTAGTATCTCATCACTTCCGTCTTCACTACACCAGGGTGCAAGGAGTTCACCGTCACGCCTAATTCACATTGGACACAAACACGCAGGGAAGTGTAAGTACTTTTCAACAGCATATTAAAGCACACAAGCCATATAAAGCATCCAGGATGCCTTTGCCTCTTCTAAATCTGGGAGAAAAAACAGCATTTACAGATATGCATGTACAGATGTTTTTTCTTTATTTTTATCTCCATAGGAAACAACAAGTTTCTGGCCGTGGCCTGGGGTTAGGCTAAAAAAACTGTACAGGCATTTTGGATAAAAGTCGGCCAGAACACACCAGTTTGGATAATTATCTGGGAATTTCAAAGAATAACAAGCAACAAATAATTTGCTGGGAATTTCTACAACAGATGTAACTCAGTTCAGAAGGTTTCATGCTCCCTGGCACAACAGAGGAATCAGTATCTGCTCGTCCTCATTGTCGATGCAGACGTCAGCTTTTATACATATCACATACTGTAATACAGTCTTCAACTGTGTGCAGCCCTGTTTGCAAATCAATGGAACATACTTCAGTGGTATTTTATCTTTAATTAACATCTTTTAGATCCTTCAACTTTCTGGACACTGGGCCAGAGCCCCTAACATGCTGAACTGCACACCACACAACATTTGTAGAACGTCCACTTATGTTGTGAAAGAAACTCTAGTAGACAGTATGTCTTCCTGAGTCATGCGTCAATCACATACAAGATCCAACTGATGCCCCAAACAGTCAAGATATTGCCATTGACAGTTATGGGCGCCCACAGACACTCATTCGGCCGTGGGTACCTGTGTCCTGAAGCCTCCTCGCCAGCTCCTTAGTCCATAAAATATTGTATAGCTTGGTATGGTTGTAGCTGCTGTCCATTCCGCCGGTCAAGTTGTTCCCATGGAAGTGTGCAAAGTGGACCTGGCCTTTCCAGTGGTTGACTGAGGAGACGTTGACAATGCGCGCAGGAGCACAACGCTTCATTAGGTCTTTGAAGCAGAAAGAGTAACAGAAAATTAATTAATTGATAGGGGAGTTAAAAAAATAAAAGATAATGATGACTGCATAAATGTAAAGTTAAGCCATAGATAGACATGGTGGCTTTGGGGCTATCACTTGTGACTGCATAAATGCAACACTAAGCCATAGACATCACTGTAATCTCACAACTCTGAGGTTGTGAGCGTGTTCCCTGGCCCAGGCTCAGTGCGTGTGCCGTTTGTTTCTGATAGGTTCCTGATAGTGCGTGTGCTTGTACTCGAGCAACGCTAATGCTAGCAGATGACACTTACAGGGGCGGATTAAGGTGTACAGAGGCCCCTAGGCTACAGTAGTCTGTGGGCCCCCCAACCCCACCCCCCTCCGCGCCAATGGGGGCCCCCTTGCAGGCTGGCACACGTGGGGCCCCTAGGCTTAAGCCATATCTACCCTGTGCGTTAATCCGCCCTTGGACACTTGGCGTACTTAGCCTTGGTATTAAAGGCAGTGAAAACACAGGAAGGAATACTGAAGTAACTGCTGACCTAGGAGCAGGTTTGTGAGCAGGAAGGGTCCTACATGGTTTGTAGCGAAGGTCACTTCCAGCCCATCTGTCGTGATCCTCCTAGGCATACCTGTGGATGAACGAATATGTCAGCATGGTCCTGTGTGCACTGTGGTCTCTCTCACACACACACATTACAATGTTACAAGAATATTTCCTTTTAGGATAACATACACAGCCTTTGCTAAATTAAAGCCTAAACCAATCTACAATTGCCAGCCTTTTACAGAATGTATCCCTCCAAGAACTGCGGCTGCGATACTTCATAACCCCACAACACACTCACATTCATGCGCACAGGCTTATCTGACTAAAATCAGTTCTATTTTATTTTTTTTTAGCAGCCCTGGGTCCTTCAACCCTTCACTTTATTTCGCAGGGAACTCAAAAAAGTACCAGAAGCCCCAGCGTTGTTCACCAAAATGTGCAGTTGCTTTTCCTCTCGCAGGAAGTCCTCGGCAAACTGCCGAACGGACTGCAGAGAAGCAGTGTCCAGCAGGCGCAGATGCACATTCTTGTTGCCGCTTAGGCGGCGGATGTCCTGCATTGCCGCTGTCCCCCGCTCCATGCTGCGACATGCGAGGATCACACGCGCGCCGCGCCGGGCAAAGTCCAGTGCTACGAATTTCCCAATCCCTACAACAGGACAGAAATAATGATAAAAAAAAATCAGAAAAACGTTTAAGCAGTTCCAAAAACACTTCTTGCCATAATAAATTCAATCTGTAGTACTACTTGATCAGGATTTAAATTATTAAACATTAATACACAGGATAGTATTCTTAATAAGTTACATTAGATTAATATAAAAAGTTTGTCGAACTGTACCAAAACCGTGACCAGGATACGCGGTGGATGGATACCCAGCAAACATTGGTCCGACGGCGACGTTGTGTCCCCGGCCAAAAACAGTCGAGGTAAAACGGCATAAATCGGTAAAAATATGTGACACAGAACATTGCCTAAAAATGCATTCAGATACATTTGTACATGTCTACAGTTGTCTGGGGTTGCATGTATAGCTGTCACTTTGAGTTTTAGCTAAGTGCATTTTAATAGTGAGTGCATGTGTGAAGCCGAAGGTCAATTTGTTGAGTTTTTTTACCCTTCCTTTTCCGTCCATCATGATCCTTTATTAAATCC